CCTCCCCAATATTCCATCTAACCCTGCCCTCAGCCATCCAAGGCTTCCTAAAAACTAGGGATAAAGTGGAATAAGAAAATATTCTGGGAATATTCTTATTTCTCCCATTTCTTGCAAGCCCTTAGTTAAGGCATCCCGCTCTTCCTGGAATTTCCAGATCATTCTGGTTCTTGGGATGCACCTGATGCCTAAAGAGTGGCATTTTTTTATTCCCACTGTTCAGGAGAACAACAGGAATTTCCATGGAGAAACTGGTGTGATGTCCTTGCCTGGGTAAAAATCCAGGTTTCCTGGGATTTTGTGCCAGCAAAAGTGTTGGAGGCACCAAAAAGAGGGGAAAAGGGGATTTCTTCCTTCTGCTTGCTCAGATTCCAGGTCAGATTCCCTTGAGGAAGCTCTCCAGAAATATTTAGGAATAAAAAATGATAAGAGAGGATAATAAATAAACCAAGCAAGGAGATTCCTACTTGGGAATTCCATGAAACCAGCCTGGCAACCGGTGGGAAGCTGCTGGATGAGCCTCTTCTGTCTGGAATCCTTGGATTTCCAAGGGAGTAGAGCAGGTGGTTGTGCCATTGGCTCCTATGGAAATGCTTTTTGTGGGAATATATTCCAGGATTATCCAAATGATCCGAGGGAAAACACATGGATGGATGAGTTCCTGCTTTGAGATCCCCCCTTTTCCTCCCTTGCATCGTTCCCTCGCTTTCTTCCCTTGTTAAGTGGGAAGAAAGTGGTACCTTTTCCTTAATTTAAGGAAAAAATTCCTGGCTGTGACAGTATTTAGGATTCACCATCAAGCACATCCTGGATTTTTCCTTTTCCACTTGCCTTTCCCGCCGTTGAATCCCGGGACAAGAGTTGGGTGGCTCAAGGTTCCACTCTGAGGGAATTTCCCAGGAAAAGAGAGAATTTCCCAGGAAAAGACCTGAGTATTCCTCTCCTTTTAAAATATCTGCTGGCTCAGGGAATGCTGAGAATATTCCAAAAGGATCCACTGGCAAAATCAAGGATCGTGGTGTGGGATGTGCAGGGCAGATTCCTTCCTGCATCCCAAACATTCCTCACCCAACCACAGCTCTTTTCTCCTGCTCTGGCATCCCCCAAATCCTTGAAAAGCAGGAGCATTCCCGTGTTTTTATGGGAAGAGGGGGGGGGTGTCTCCCACCTGCTCCTTCATTCCCAGCCCTGCTCCGGCCCCGGAGCGTTCCCGGCGTGTTGTTCATCGCGCCGGAAAAGATTCCTTTGGCTGCATCCCAAGCTTTTGTTTCAGGTTGGATTTGCTCCACGGCCACATCCCTGCTCCTCCACACCTTCCCGTGCTGGCAGGAAAAGCAGGAGCGGGAGGAAGGGCAGGCACTGCTCATTTTTCCCCTCACAATGGAATGTTTTCCCGCCTTTCCGCTCTTTCCCCGCCGTCCCAAAAACCCTGTCGATCCACAAACACCAGTGGGACACTTTTCCAGCTGGGGGGGCTGCTGTGATCCCTCAGTTTGGCTTCTTGCTGCCCTCAGTTTTCCTTAATTTTTGCTTGGATTGCCTTCATTCCTGCTAAATTCCTGTCTTGGTGGAGCCAAGCACCTCCCGATCCCGAAAGCCAAGTGCCCGGGAAAACAGTTGCTGTGGAAACAGAGCTCAGGGAGTTTATTCCACTGGGGAAAAACACACACTTAGGGCTCCAAAGGATCCGCTTCTCTCCAGATTTTAATAGGGAACTCACTCCAGGTCTTATTAGGGAAGTCCCAAAGGATCCCACACCTGCTCCCGGGGCTGGAGAACCTGCGGACACAGGGATTGTGCTTCCCACCGGAGCGCTCGCTCCTGTCACCTTGGGAATTGTTCCTGGAGGTTCTGCTCTCCAATCCCAGCCCAGGAATGTTGTTGATTTTGAGATAAGAAGGTCTTTGTTGGCTCAGGTGGGATCCCACCTGGGAATGCTGTGTCCAGGGCTGGGTGCTCAGCACGGGAAGGACGTGGAGCTGCTGGAGAGAGTCCAGAGGAGGCCCCGGAG